CAGAATGATAGTTTTTATAATACTAGTTTAAAAACTCACTTCAAACAAAGATTGCAGTGTTTGAAGATGTAGGTTCTCAGGAGGCAACAGTACTGTTGACTTCTCCCTCCACTGGACACCAACTAACTATTTAAAGCAGAGCTTGCAACATGATAGCTATTCATAAAGGGTGTTTTTTTTTTTTACTTTTCATATAATACAGTAGTCACACAATGAGGCAGTTCATATTTGTCTCAGTGAATCATTAATTTTTGACAGACACCTGTACAAAATACTTGGACAAAAGCCAGCTAAGATTTTCTGTTATCTTGCACGTTTTATGAATCTATTCACGTCTAAATGCAGCACTTTTTTTTTGCAATGAGGCATGTTTTTATACTAAAATATCTGAATTACTTTGAATAAAGCTGGAAATTATGCCCCTTAAAATAATTAAACAAATAAGGCACCAATGTTTTTGTAAGATATTTACATCTGTTAGTTCAACCCCAAAACTTTTTTGTATTCAAAATTAATTATGACAATGTATATTTATATTGAAACAAACTATGTTAAAGGGAATTATATTATATAACAAAGGGCAAGGTCACCAGAGTTCAACTATGTTTAAATAATGCATCTCCCACGTGCCTGAACCAATCAAGTTCAAACTTCATCAGACATCATATCCGACAAGCTCACATTCATATTTGTCACCACCAAATCCAAAATTGCTGGCTGACAGCCTTGTACACATTGGTCATTATTATGGATCTCGTCTCAAGTGTATATCATGGATAATGACTGATACCCCGGTAGTATTTGATTCAAACAATTATTGTCAAGATTTTACTTGATTTTATTGTTGACTCCCGTGTGCGAAACACATAATCGGAGTCTTTGCAGTTAGTGTGTCTGTATGTATGTGTGTGTGTCAGTCTGTTCCGCTGATATCTCAAGAACCATCTGTTAGTTGGAAACTTGATGCATAGATGCTCTGGGCTAATGTGCAGATTTGATTAGGTTGTTGTTAAAATCCGTGCATATTAATCACCTATTTTGCATGATAGTTAGCTGATTTTTAGCTGTTTACCATGACTGTTCCACTGATATCTAAAGAACCACTCATTGCATTCTGATGAATCTTGGTGCATAGATGATTTTGGGGTAAAAATCCAATGATATTAGTTACCAAATTTGCATAAGTTCTCATCATCACATTACAATGAAACTTGGTACATAGATGTCATAGGACAATGCACAGACCAGATAAGTTTTGGATTAATGTCCATGCATATTAATTACCTAATTTACATAATTAGTAAATTTTCGGCTTTTCATCTAATATTTCAAGTACTAATCATTACATTTCAATGAAACTTGGTACATAGTTTTGGGTAAAAACTATTCATAATAATTACCTAATTTGCATAATGATTAGGGGTGATCTCATATTCAAACACCTGGGTCAAACCTGGGTTAACCCGGCCTGCCCTATTCAGACCTACTAGACCTACAATATGCAAATTAGTAGTAGGTTTGAACCTAACCACCGGATTAACTGCCCATTAACGCCCCCACTGAAAACAAACAACAGAGAACAAAGAAGACAGACCTAGGGTAAACCTAGGTTTTTCTTACAATACTGTTTCAGCCTGGTTTCAGTAGGAAAAAAAATAAGATGTATACTATGAAGCTCCATGTTCATACTGAGTGTTATATTTTGAAGTGTTAAGAATTACAGCAGCGATTTTTTTTTCTTTGCAAGTCTTGTACATGTAAATGCTAATAAAAACAAACTTGCATTTGTTTCACAAATCTATTTACATCATGTCATTTATAAGTGTGATGAAAATTATATTCATTTATTTCTGTGATTGGTAATAATAATCAGTTTCCCACAACTTTTTTTTTTTTTTTTTTTAAAAAATATTTTTGTGCCAGGTGACAGTTCTGGACATTGAATGTCACCGTTGTCTCTCCTGACTTTTTTTTTTTGTATGTGCAAATTGCATGTGCTAGTGCTGACACATAGTGCATTTTGCCACAGAAGTCATATTCATGTTTGGGACTACATGACAGGGCTGTGTGGCCATCTCTCTGTCAAATGGCAATTTTAATGCGCTATCCTGGCGTCAA